GTAGTGGATAAATGATGCAGGATGCACCTGGCACTGCGGGTACTCACAATGCTGTGGAACCGTCCCGTGGCCTCCTTAAATGGCTCCCGAGGCAACTAGAAGCGGCGCAGCTCCTAGTTTCTTTGTGCCCTTCAACGCAGTTCATTAAGATTTAAAACGATAGTTAAATTTTATCACTGTATATCAAAACTATACATTATTAAAAGAGAGTCAAGTCCAGAAGACTCGTGGAATGGGAATGCAATGCATGTTTCCGAAAACGCTGGCCGAAACACATAGAATGCAATCGAAATTTAAAAAACCTAACAGCTTACAATTTAATAACGAACTAGACCTGGAAAACATTTGAGGGTAACAGTGAAAACCACTTCTCTCCTGCCCGTATGGCCACACGGTTTCTCGACAGGATCTTCTGGCGATAGCCAAGTAAAATCAGTTTGACTAACTTGAGGAGAAAATGCATACATGCTGAAAATCAGCGACATACAAGAGAGATGAACAAACAATATTTCAAAAATATGTGAAAATTAAATTGTAATAAAGAGGAACAAAATTATGTGCGAAATAAAGAACAAAATTGTAATCGTCGACCAACCAACAAGAGGAACAGAAACGCATGAGGATCCGAATCACTGTCAGAGAATCGATCTGCAGTCATGCGCTCTTACGGTTAACTGAACGAGGAAGTAAAAACAAAAAATATTTGCTGATCTGTGAATGACCTTTAATGTGATAATCGTTTGTAATCTCTACCGGACTACTGCCTTATGGGGTTTGAGAGGTAGCTCATTTAACTGTTGCATGCACTTACCATGTCATGAAGCTTGGAGGTACTTCTGATGTAGCGTTCATTCACCTAGCGCCGTAAGTAACTATAAAGGTCACTGCAGAATGTATTAACACGTGGATAAAGCTGACATCACACAACATCATCAACTTCTGAAAAACTCTACTGTCAAAATCTTTCACTAACATAATCCGTCACTTGCGGGACAAATAATCGCACTTTATGCACTTCGAACAAAGTATCCCGTTGAACCATTTCGAACATATATGTCGCAGTGCTTCTGACTCGTCGAAAATTACATCGTTGGCCTGTGTATCAGCACATCGCTCGAACTCGTCTTCACGGTATGAAAACTCGGTTGCAGAAGGTTCTGAGGGAGAACAATCCAGCTGAAGGAAAGACTGGTGATCGATGCATGCATGTAAATGGGTAAACGCTCGTTTCTCAGCATTACGATCGTTTAAAGACACCTGCGCTTCCACGACTCTTTCTCGCATGGCACCACAAGAAGTTTGCTGAAGAACGCGATACAGTTTGCAAGCATAAGAAAATGCAAATTCTGCAATTGCTTCTAAGCACGATTCACAGAATGGCAAAGAAGAAACTTCCAACGATTCTTCATTCTTGAAAAGCAAAATTACGCGATGTAGTTCGATCCAAAATTTAGCATTGTCGTCGTATCCGGTCAGTAATACAAACAGAACGGAAAAACAGCGTTCAGGTTTAGGAATTTTCTTGTACAATTCGTAAGACTTAAAAACACATCTAAGCTTTACGTCAAAAGTCGCTTTGTCAATGTTTGACAGTAAAAATTGTTCTGCCTGTTCGAACTCGGCCATCTGTAAAAAACAACACACCAAAGACTCGTTCAGTTCGTGCGTTTGGAAAGTCAACTCTTCCGGCAGCAACGTCAGTGCATTTTCGTAAGCACGGGCCGCCTGCTTGTACTTTCGACATGCATAAAGAAAGTTGCCTCTGTGCTGCCATATCAGAGCATTTTCTGACAGAGCGTTGTCCAGAAACCACAACGGTTTTACCTGCTTTGGCACGTAATCAGCGACAAAGAAGTCAGAAGCAAACGCCTCTTCCGCGATCTGCTCTTCAAAGAACGATTCGCCTATGTTCAGATCCATAGTCACCGAGTGAAAGCTACTTCCTCGAGGATTGCGCATGCTTCGACGCTTCGTATTTAGTCATGCATTCGCGAAAAACCGCAAGCTCATTCTGACATTTGCGCCAATCACGATATTCGAAGTAACATTCCTAAATTCATGTCTCATCAGTAAGCTACAGCTAACTATATGTTACGGTAAACGACAGCAGCATTAGGCACAACACCAGATGTCAAATGGAGACAATTCCTAATTCATTTAGAATAAGAAGTTCGAAACGAAGAAAATTACTGTTTCCACTACAAGCAAATGTGCTCGTAATATTTATACCCTACGTCCGGTACTGAACAATAATTATACATCGGGGACAGCATGTACAGAGCTCATTTATAACGAATATTTCCACTGATTCTAACAATCCGCTATGCGACTTATTTTACTTTCAATCCTATCAGTTAATGGTGCAGTCCTTTCATTGCTCACCATAAATTATTAACTCATATTTTTGCCCCACTGACGAAAGGCATGATCCCGTTATCCTGATTCGACAGAACCAAAATAATAACTGCATTAATATGTGCAAGTTCAAGTCACGAATATCTCACTAATACCTCTGACACTGCTTAGAACAGAATGAGAAGTTCAACAAAGGGCCACGGTTAAGAATTCAAAGATTTAGAGATGGTATAAAAAGGCTGAGGGCATGCAATGCTGCCTTAGATCTTTACTCTCCGACAAGTCCGCAAAAAACTGAAAACCGAGAGTATGCCAAGGTACTAATCCATAAACTTGTCAAAGGGTTATCACAGGGTGCAAGGGCTTCGAAGCAATGGATGATGTTGCAGGAATATAGAGCAGAAGCCGCAACTTCATACCAGCATTTAGAAGCATTTGCCAAACTAAACGAGAGGAAGTCGATGCATTTAAATGCACGCAACTGTCTCTACTAAGGGTGTCTGCATGTACACCTGATAAGTCCGCCGCAGCATTCACCGAGGCAGGAAAGAAGATCGAGCTGGTCGAAATTGAGATTTCATCTGTGCAAACAGCGGGTCAGTGAAGTACCACTTAGGCGTGTTGAGAAATTTAAATATAAACTTAAATATAATAAAAGTAATATAAATTTAAATGTAACAGAACGCACAATAACGACAATCAACTAAAAAGACATATGAATCAGTAGATAAGTCAATAATGTAAGTAATTTGGAAGCCAGATTACTTATATTATGAAAAAATAACTGAGCAGTAAACGGAAAGCCGCGCGAACTCAAGTTTTCATCATTTATGGCATTAAACATGAAAGGAACAACTCCGAA